TCGGAATCAATATCGCGTGAGAAAAACGAGACAACTGCCGCAAAACAATGGCTTGTCCCAGAATGGCGCGTCGGTTGCATATCCTCAAGGTAGTCGCCGTCTTTCTTTGGAAGACTAGAGAAATTCTGCTCTTTGGCGCATCTATCTCATGTCCATCCGTGTTTCATATAAAAACAAGTACTTGAGCATGGAAAAACGAATCAGACCAGGTGCGGAGAGCGACATCTCGGGGTTTCGACATCGAGGCTGGCCGTCATCTCGTGACTTGGCTGTTTCCGACCTTCAGCGGCGAAATTAAACTCAGCTGCTGGCCGGTGAAACTCATCATGAAGCTTCAATTGCAGGAGAACATGGAACTATCCCCGCAAGGCAATGCAGTCAATGCTATCGATGGGACTCTGACCGAGCGGATCGCCAATCTCCCGAAGAAGCCAACTGGGATTCAACCGGAAACAGCTTAGCCAGCGGAATAAAAGGCGAAAACACATGAATATTAAGTGAAGGGCGGTCCGAGAATCAGTTTCCGAGCTGGTTTTTCGATAATGTGAACTCATAAGGACACCTGTGTTCCGCGCTCAGCGACACTAGGTAGCTCTAAACTCTCTACACACGCGCTTGCTCTTGGTGCGCTTGCTCCGGAGCTGCTCGCTATCAGCGCGCTTCTCATGAGTTGGCTCGGTGTCTGCATAATCCTCGTCACTTTCCCTTTCTCGTGATCATCATTTCCCATTTGCCCCCTGCTTTCTTCTCCTTGTCTTCTCCGTGTACCTCAGTGCCCCGTTCCATCCTTTCCAACCTCTCTGTTTTCCCGTTCTCCCGCTGCCCTGGTTAAAAGTCCCCGAAGTTCCCAACTCCCCCGAAGACCCGTACTCCTGCCCTTGGGGTCTTCGGTTATTCCCGTTCCAAGAATTCCCTCTCTCATCGTTTCATAGGTTCCCCTATTCCCACCTAATAAATCCCCCCTTTCCCTTTTCGCCGTTCTCCTAGGTCCCCTGTGTCGCTCTCCCCGCTCTCCATTCTCATTCCATGAGGACACCAGTAATCCATGATCCAATACGGCTACAACAGCTTTAATCGAGATCTATGAATGGGAAACAGCATCGTATGATGACGGCAACCCCTTATAATCTTCCTAAGAGCTTTCAAAAATCCACCACCGAATTTTCATGGTGGTCGGGTCCAGTACTTGAGAGATTCCGCGAATTCGTATTCTCCCGTCTCTTCCGAATGTTCGATGGGAGGTGCAGTCAAATAATGTTTTCAGGGTAGAAGGATCAATCGCATGGGAACGACACCGGCGACCCCTATACCCTTCGGGCGGCTCCCCTGAACCCATTCTCGAATTTTCACGGCGTTCGGTTAAGCTCTCCTGGAGTCTATAGGGAACACACAACAAACAGACAGGCTAACAGTGAGTGCTCATATTTTTTTCTCAACAGTTCAGCTATTTATTCGTAATCATTCACTGCGGATTCGCTATCAGCTCCGCGCATTATAGCGAAGAGTTCTTCCGATCGTAATCATTGACACCATGCACGACGACCAGGAGGTCTGGGCGAGATGCGCCCGCGTCCATAGGCGATTATTTATCAATTATTGTACCGATTTCCATCGAGCCAGGCCCGCGTAGAGCGCGTTGTCGGTCCGGTGACTCGGGATCGTATTCCGTCGATTATTCGTATATGTAGATAATCGCTGCCATCGCCTCCGGATTCCCAGCTACGTGACAAAAGTGCGCGCCCAATGATTGCACAGAGCAAGTGGGGGCAGCCTCGCTAAGCAGTAAACGACGAGCTTCCACACAAGTCGCTGCTGTCGAACAGCTGCATTCTCTGTAGGATTCTTCCTTTGAACATTTCTGTTTGTTCTCAACTCGATGCCCTGGCGCTTTGTTGTCCTTCTCTATTACTGTGTTGACCCTCCTTTCACTCGTTTTCTCTTTCTTTCCTTCTCGGATCTCGGAGCCGTCGCCGTCGTCTTTGAGACCTTTGAGCTGCGTTGTTCCCTAGACCGTCTACTTTTTCTCGCCGCCAACCGAAGGCTCTGACTGCACGACTCCGAGGAGTGTTGTGTCGACTCCATCCCTCCTCGGCGGTCGGACAAAGCTCGAAGAATCCAATTTACATGATTGTATCCGTTAGACATAAAAATCGGCACTCCACGAGAGGACTCGAGGAACATCCAAATCAATTCGTGATCACTCGGCGGACGTGGTCGACAGCAGGAAGCCTTTCTGTGCCGAGGTTGTAGTTGACAGTTTTTCTCCAGTTCTCCGGACCGCGTGCTTGAGTGAGCTCCAGTCTAGCTTTGTGTCCATCGTCCGCCTCGAGCCATGAGTTCGGGCGAGTTCGGGGGCCGGCCCGCTGCCGCAATCGCCGCCGCACCGACGTGTCCCTGGCCTTCAGCCGTTCAGAGGGCAGCCGCCCACAAGCGCGAATACGAAAATAGAAAGGTTCTTCTAACGCTTTTACGGCCGAGCAGTGTAAAGCATGCCTCCGGGGAAGAGCTTCGATCATCACCAACACTACGTTGGCGACGGCAGCACAACGCTTTCAGAATTTGGCCCGGACACTGTTCCTCGACGAATTTAATTTCTACATGTACCTACAGAGCCGACGAGGAACGCGGTGAACTTCCCTCTGTAACAGCGACAGGCGCAGCCCTCGTTCAGTACAATTTAAAATGCGAGTATATTCGTGGCTAAATGTTCCTAAGAGTTCCTCGAGGCCCAGGGGCCACATGGGCTCATTCGGAGGAAACTTCACCGGGCTTCACCCTCGCGGTCGAGCACGAGCGGTACTCGTTTTTTTCCCCGACGAGAGCTAACGAATGGCCGTAATGACGTCGCTGATGTTCATTATTGCTCTTTTTCGACTGGAGAAAATTGAACCGCGTTGAAGCTGCGGAGCTCCGGATCCTGGCCATACCATCATCGAATACCCTCGTATAGCGTGCATGAGGTGGGAATCACCTCGCAAACCGTGAGCAAGGAAAAGCGCCCGGTTAGAACTTCGGAGCCCATAATCACAGTCCTCGGTCTCATCGATTAGATATTACTTCGTACACGTAACCGAGGGATAGATGAGAACCCGAAAGAACAAGGCCGGGTACATCGAATCTCGCCGACCGCGAGGATTATGTTTTCCCTGACTGAAAACCTAACGGGAGCCTGACGAAGACTCGAAGGGAAACCTTGAGGAAAAGCTCATTGACACCCTAAGGGTGAGAGATCACGAATCTCGACGGAAATTCAACGGAGTCAACCGGAAACCCTCACTGACGTCTCACGAGGGCCCGGAGCCTCGCGAAAACTTCTCGAGAGCAAAAGCGTGCGGCGCGTTCCACAAAATGCCACCTACATACCTACCCACGAGACGTGTCTGCCATCGACTGGCGGTAACCGACCGTCGGCATTGGTCACCTGGGCGCTGGACTTGGAGCAGCCGCCTGCTGATCGAGGCAAATCAGAGAACTTGTACGGCAGTGCGGATCCGCACTTTGACCGCTTTGATTTCTCGGCGAGTCGCCCGTATTCATCGCTCCCGGTGGAGCAGTGTCCCCGCGAACGATGTGACGTTCACTTGATTGTCGAGCTATTATAGATGAAAATGATCATGGAGGACGACGCCAGGGGATTTTTTATCATACGCTCCACGCTCGTCTAATGATTTCTTCGCCTGGCTCTTGCTGGGACAGCTACGCCAGAAGACCCGACGCGGTGATCGATTTCGGAATGCGACTACTTATCCAATCCAGGAAAAGCGATCTCGTCCCGCCGCCCAATAGATCAACGGGTCTCAACCTTTCCCCCTCTTCGGCCGCCGGAAATCAGGCGGCGGTCAGCAGGAAGATGGAGGTGATCTCGACAGATTCGCCGAGTCGCATTGATAACTTGTGGAAAGTTTTGCTTCGAGTTCGTCAGCGCATCCTCCACCCCTCCCCATCCCTCGATACCAGACAGCATTTCATATCTGCTAAAACTGTCTTATTAGTTATCAGGTTCGTCATCGAGCATGCTCCTTGTATCTTGAGCGATGTTTTCGGGCTACGCTTCATCAAAGTCACTTCCTCGACCGGAGTTTCGCTCAAAAAATGTCGCAAATCTGGTCTGCTTTCGAACTCGGAAACCGTTGTGATGAGAAGTCCGTTCCCGGAATCAGGCCAAGATTTTTTGCTCAAAGACCGCTCTAGAGACGTAAAATAATTCAAGGCCATGCCTCTAGCTCGGGCGCGACGCATGAAACGCCCTGGGACGAGACGGGGAGCCGTTTTACAATCGGCATCGATTTTCGATAGACTTGACCACAAAGCCGGTCGTAGCAGCTATTCATTCTCGCTGTTTGCGTAAGAGCGCCCATTACTTCGCCATCACCATCATCGCTCCATGAGACGGCAATACGGCAACCTCTCCAATTCGAATCAGGCTACGAATAAACGAATCGGGAATCGATGAAGCTCGTTCAGCACGGAAATGTCCCGAGGATAGGGAATCGTTCAGCAGGCGTTTTGATTACGGACTTCTCTGCGTGTCCGTACACTCCGTCGATAACTCAGCGTGCGCGCCAGAATTCAGATACGCGAGCTGAACTTTTGCAGGGTGGATCTCCCGAATAAATCCTGTCGTCTGAGATATCCCGACTCTGACCAAGAGAAGCCCAAAGCCAGGTTCGAGCCATCAATGGATATCGGAATAGCGGGTGAGGAGTAGCCACTGCCGAAGTTGTACCGCAGTAGAGTGCTAAGAGAGCTACTCGCGCTTAATCTCCTCCAACCTGACATCCGGCGAAGATGATTGAGCGGATTCTCGCCACATTCAGAGCGGAGCGGTGTTCTTGCTTGCCGAATCAGTCATAACTTCAGAGGATTGATCATATTCAGAGATACAGCGATTCTGACATGAATTTCGAAAATGCGCGCGAGAGCAGACGACGTCGGACACCGCGGGCTTTTTTTTGCACGAGAACATCTGAATTCGTCGAGTGGATGTCGGACTGACGTTCCCCAGGAGAACTGAGGACCGTTGAGAGTGACAGCTGACTGTGTTTCGTCAAAAGTTTCCAAGGCGGGCGATCGACTCCGCCTCCACACGACTGCCCGTGATCATGAGTTCCTCTCGTTTGACAAGACTGCGCCTTGTCCATGTGCAGCTCCAGCAGAATTCAGAGAAACGAGACCTAGAGGAGAAAGTTGAGCAACATATTCTGGCGACAGGCACCCTGAAGGTAGTCAATGTTCGGAGATCGATAATTGAGTTTTCCCATAGAAGCTACGGAAGCTTGAGCTCAGTTTTCTTGCCCATTTCGCTTGCCCATTGCCCATTGCTTTGTTTTGAGGATCCCGATGTATGAATGTGGAGAGTTAGACAGTATCATGAGATGCTCAATCCCGATTTTCAGGGAGCCATCACCGCTGGTGAGAAAGAACGGGTCGCGCTTGCAGAGAGCCTGGAACGACTCCGGTTATCGAAAGTGATTGAGGCCCTTCGTCGAGTCAACTCGAAGGAGGATTTCAATGGAGCTCTAGAAGATTTGATCAATCGTCTCGGTGAGATATCGGGTGAGATATTCCTTGCAAAGTTATTCCTGAGTAACTTTGTCCTCTTCCAACGTCGTCATTCTCGACAGATATTCTCTCAGGATAGAATATCTCCCGATCCTCAGACTTGAAGTTGTATTCTAGGGATAGTCAACAGCATAGACGGCGTCACCATGAGAAATATGCTGCCCCTCGACGTCGACGCCTTCCTCGAGGAGCTGCGAGATATGAACGAGGTCTGGCAGAAATATGATGATACTCCGATAGAACTCGCAACTCTGCGCCAGGTGAGCCAGGCATGATCCCTCTTTTCCGGTCGCCTTTATTAGGCCGATACAAGACTTCACAATGACATGCTTTCGACGGAAGATTTCCTCCGGAACGAAATGAGAAAATTGTTACTCTGCAGGCTGACTTCGATCGTAATGGCTGTATTCTTCTAGGAACTCAAAGAAGTCTGCGAAAAAATGCGGGAGATGGATAGAAACCTTCGCTCGCTGATAGTTCAGGACAGGATCGCGAACGCTCTATGAGATAGCAGGAATTGGGAGTGATCAGAAATACTCGTTTCGAGGCTCCAGAACAGGCTCCCGTGGTACCATGCAGCCTGAGAGCACTCCTGTGATATCGGAGATATGGACTCCGATTGAAATTTCGGCATCGAGAGCTCTCACGAAGGATTGATGCCTGGTAACATTAAAGGAGGGGATGAAGCTCCACAAGCTGAAGGGGGACGGTATCGGACTGGAATGGATCGAGGATACGTACCCATGGTGTAAGGTTGAAAACCATGAAGTCCGGGACGAGCGCGGCTCCGATGGTGCTACGGTTGGTTTATCGAACATGACCTGCAAGATTTTCTTATGCCTAATGATAAGTCAGATACCTACGACGATATTCTGTGATTCTAAGCTTAGTTTGACAAGGCTTAGCGAAATTCCGGTCAGCAGAGACTGAGCCCCATAAATTGTTGAACATCACAACAACCAATCACTCCCCAAGAGGTAGATTGTATAATAGGAGATAGAGTGGGGAAGGCACCCGGGTTGCTCTACACATTCTCCCTGTTCTGTAGAGACGAGCACGATCGATATCTTCATTCGAGTACCATGAGATCGCACTTGTCGTTTGATTCATTCGCGGTGAGTTCTCGTCGGCACAATGCGGGAGTTCAGAGCGTCACCAATAAACTTCAGCCGTTCAACAAGGAGACAATGAGGCAGAAAAGTTATTCAGGTCCGGAGAAAATTCTGGACACGGCTAAGAAGTCCGAGCGCTGAGCCGAACAGTGCAAACGAGACGACGACGTCGATTTGACCTTGGGTAAAGTCTGCCGATCGTATCATCATACGCGAAGGACTAGATCCCGCTTCGACAGAGCAGAGCGTATCTCCCTGATTGCGTGAGACTTCTCGAATTCGCTCCAATGACTGAGTGTAAGCGTAAATATTTGCGCATTTCAATTCCCTGGAGAAACGACCGTGAGCCATCGCCTCATAGATGACCGTTTCGAAATGACTTTAAACTGCGATAGATTTCAGAAGAGGGGCCTTTAGCATCTGAAACATGGACCACTTTCTCTATCTAGGGCAGGCGTTCCCGATAGGGGGCCCTAGGACCCCTCGGGGTCCCGAAGGTCGGTGGAAACAAGCTATGTAGACATCCTATGGAAAAATATGCTCGATATGGCTTGCGAGAATACGGACCAGCAATTACGCAACAGAGTTTCTCACTGAACCGAGAGGATTCATTCAATTGAGGAGGGGGATGATTCTCTGTCTAGCGAAGCCACCAAACACTCGCACCTTCGGAATGGCATCGCGAGGGTTCCCGAGCACGATCAAGGGCTTCGGGTGGGGGAAAGCGCCCTAAGAAGAAGTCGAGGGGCGCAGGTGTAGAAACTTAATCTACCTCGGAACGCGCCCCAGCCCCGAGACACTTCTACGGAACTACGCGACGTGACTCATCAGATGCTTATCCCGACCCGTCTGGTCTGAAGGTTCTAGGGAGTCAGAAGTACGCGAGTAAGCAGCAGGGAATCCTCTCCTCTGCATGGGGTTTCAACGGACTGCATTCTTTCCCGCCGAGAGGAACCCTCCCAGAGCCCCACATCGGTGAGGAACCTCGGATTGTCCCGCGGTATCGCCTCTCTCGACGGCAATATTCTTAATCAGTGAGGCAGTCTTCCAAGATTTTCAGAAGAACTCAATCCTAGCATGTAGGCAGGTGAAGGATATTGCGAGCCCACGGGGATCGTGTTTCAGAGCTCGGGTTTTCGCGATGAAGTCCGCGCAGAGGGAGCGGCGAGACTACGAACTGTGAGACTCTCATCTCTCGGTGTGAGACTCGAGCTCCTTCGAAAGTCGGAGATGCATATACCTAGCGTCTGCTAATCGGTGTACTCCTGACTCCTAATCAGGGAAGATGTCGAAATCTAGTCGACTCCGATTCGCCGATTCCCGGCCAGGGTCCCAGTAGTGAGCGATTTCTTGTTCTCGAGTTTGGGCTACCGATATTCGGTCCTGAGAGTGGAGCTCGATGGGGATTTTCCGCCGCTGCTATTTTTCGAAGGCTCATACCGCGAAAGAACGTGATGCGCAGCAGCCCCAAGCAGCCGCAGATCGGAGTTCCTCTCAATCAGATTCCATACTGTTAGCAGGAGCGGATCAATGGAACGAAGGTGTTCGTCGTCGCTTCGGAAATGCCGTCACTGCACCCGTATCAGGGTGAGAGTCGTAAGCAGGCTCTTCAATCTTGTTCGAAGAAAACTTCTGATGATTTCGAAAGTCTCCAAAAAACTTCTGGGGAGCAAGAATGGAGGCGGATTTTGAGTCAGCAGGGTTCCGCGAGAGAAGCACTCCCAGGATCCATCGATCCGCGGAGATCCGTCGCGAATCAGCGAAACTAGCATGAATATTCCTCGACAACCTCGAGGCATATCGCAGGCATATTTCGGTGATTGATCCAAGCTCCAGGTGATGGAAGATATCTCTGGTCACAATCAAACGGGGCGATCGTCGTAGCTGAACCGCCTGTTCACCTCGCACGGCAGGACGCTCCTGTTCCGACTTCAATCAATGTGTCAATCAGAAGCTGGCAAGCATATTTCCGTCAGATATATCAGACGGTCTCAAGAATCATTCTGGACTCTGCTCGAAATCTCGGAGACTGAAGGGAATGCAGCAGGGAAGAGTGGGTCAGAAAAGAAGATCATCGTCTCGACCTCTCACGAGGGGATATGGACGACTTAGTCAGGCTGCTTATTATCACTCTCATTCAACACATTCGTGGAGATTTCTCGGAACTCATTCGAGTGTTCGAAATTTCGAGCCCTAGAAAATTGCGATACTTTCTGCTCATGGTCGGACGGGCGAGACTCAATAAATCAATGAACAACTCGATGAAGACGGCGTCGTCCCGAAAGTAAAAGTCATCCGAGCGGGAAGGACGCGCAGGACCGTAGTACATTCTGAAAACCTGGCACGTTCTCAGCTCGCCCCGGCAACCAGACCGTTGGTCAATCACGCTCATTGGGATGAGTTTCTCGGGTACGCTGCTCGATGAGATTGAAGTCTCAAACCGCCATTAGTGAAATACGAACGAAAGCGTAATCACCAAGAACGACGGCGGCACACAAACGGTTCATTAATTCCACGGCTCCGATAGAACGTTCCGACTTCACAGAAACGTTGAAGGCATCTAAAGAAAACGCTGTATAAAGAATCAACTCCGTCTTGTTGAGTAACACATTGGACAGGCGCGACGCCACCGCCTCATTCGGACACCCGAGCATCTCGACCAGAATCCGAGGCGAAGCTGGAACTTCGTCATGCGATTATTGTAGCTACCGCACTGTCTACCACGACTTCGATGTTTCTCGGGGAAATTAGACGGAGGGGAGGAGGGATCTATCCGTCGACTGTTGGCTCCGTCTCAAATTTATGCCCGAAAGTGACGGAAAATTACGTCAACGCCGATGGGAGAATATTCGGGAAAACGGGTTCGCCTGGGACACTCAGGTCGATTCCCGTGTTCGATTCCCCACGCCGCAGCGCGTTCCCAATCTCTAGAGAGTTTCCACGGGAGCATCGCCACCACAAAGCGCTGTGCACATGGCGCCGAAAATGTAGGTACGCGCCGTCGGCACCGTAATTGACCCAGAATACCGAAGAGCACCCGCCAGAAACTTGAACACCTCCTCTCCTTAGCGATAGATATTTATATGTCGAGAGAATGGACGAGAAGCAGAGTTCACTCAACGCTCGACAACAAGCACAATGATCGCCTTCGCTTTCGCCGCTGCCGTCTTGGCCACCGCCAACGCTGGAGTCCTCCACTCCGCCCCTCTTCTCCAGGCTCATCATGCCCCCCTTCTGTCTCACGTCGCCGTCGCCCATGCTGCTCCTGTCGCAGTCGCCCATCCCGTCGCCACCTCCTACACCTCGGTGACCAAGACCATCCACGCGCCCGTCGCTAAGATCGCCCATGCGCCCGTTCTCCACGCGCCACTTCTCCACGCCGCTCCCGTCGCCAAGATCGCCCATGCGCCCGTTCTCCACGCACCCCTTCTCCACGCCGCTCCCGTCGCGAAGATCGCTCATGCTGCTCCCCTCCTCTCGACTCACATCGGCCACGCCGTTGCCGCTCCCATCTACGGAACTGCCTACGGAACTGCTTACGGAGCTCACGCTTGGTAAACTGTGGATTTACCTCACTGAGATCATCATTGTTACATTCGTGTCATTGTTACAATACAAACTCGATGGATCCAAATCGTGACAGCTCACTTTATTCGTGCCGAATTTCCGAGAGACACGAGGTCCACTCATGGTGATTTCCCTGCTAGAACCCCGGATAGGAAGGTGGGCTATCAATGTGGGAAAAAAAAGGGTACTTCATCAGCGAGGCATTTTTCGCCAGGAGCAGCGATTTACCAAGCGGGGAAGATTGGGCGGGGGGTTCCGACCGCCTATAGCAGACTCCAGGCTTTATTCCTCCTCTCCCTCGATGCATTGACCGCCCCCCCCCTGCGCTGGACAGCCCGAACGCACGCCCAACTTCGCAAATTATCACGAGCAGTGGTATACAGCACCTCGATGAAGTTCTCTCGATAGTCGTCTTCGATTCAAATAGAAGGATACGATATCGTCCTCAAGGCCTGAAAGATATGTCTCGCGGCTCGCTTAACCAAAGAGAGCAACATCGAACAATTTTCGTGAGACTCCAATCGAGAATCCCGAAGACATATGAATTTTCCCCACCGCGGCAATCTTCTGTCCTTTTTTCGCGACGCTCGACTGTGAAATTTCAAAATTAGGCTGACACCTGACACTAGCTCAATCCTGCATGAAGCACCGAGCTCGAGCGGAAGGTTCTCTCGTCCATATTCATGCACGAGAGCCTTAGTCGGTGCTTCGAGGAGTGGTATATACGGAAGGATTTCGAATGGCAGGGTATCGAGCGCGACCTCGTCCAATCACCGATATTCCACATGAGGTGTACATATGCTCGAGTAGCACCGACAGTACTCCCTAGACGGGTATGGCGGATACTTTGCCTCGATATGAGCTGAGAGACTTCCGATGAGCGGTTCGAGGGAGACCCGTCTATTGACTGAATTCTCGGTTTAAGCCTGTGTCAAAGTGACAGCTCCTCGTCTTTTCTGCGCGAGCTGAGTTGGATTTCATGGAAAATTACGGCGAACGGCGATTTACGACTTATTGTGGCGAAGCAATGGGCAGCAACTTAAATATCCTAGCGCGAGTCTAGCGGAGGGCACATCACGAGCCCTCCACGCTTAAGCAGTCAGAATGAGGTACTCCGCGGTTCTCGCCTTCGTGCTCGTCAAGACCGCCGATGCAGGTGAGTGGAAGGAACCACAGAGTAAGAGCGAATCTTCCCTTCGGAGAAGAGGAACTCCTTCGAAACCTACCCGGCTAAAACATCGCAGGAGCGGGTTTGCCGAATGATTAAATAACAGTCTCCTTCGACGTGGTTGAGAATCAGTCCCAAATCCTATGGAACAAAGTGCCGATCGAGCAATCGGGTGTGCCCGAACGGTACCTATAGATCATTCCCGAATACTACTTCAAGACATCGAGGAGTCCCAGAGCGGCTCCTTCACAAAATATTGCTTCAGGTTTCTTGTGCTCGCAAGGGGAAGGATTGTTTCCCGATCCGAGAAATTGCGGCCGATTCATCCAATGCATGGATTGGCATCCCCATCTCTTCGACTGTCCCAGCCAGCTTCACTTCAACCCGGGAACGAGGATGTGTGACTGGCCCTCACAAGCCGGATGCTCTGTTGAGGCGAATGTGAGTTCATCCCAGCCGCCTCCATAACACCAGAGGCGTACCCGGAGTTTTTTTCGGGGGTCCAAGAAGGCGACCTGCTCTTATGCTTTAGCACTACGGATGGGGATTGTAGGAGGGGGAAGGGCATAGCTCTCCCCACCTCCTGGATACTCCGCTGGACGGCACATACATGAGCTGTGTGAAAAACTATCGAACAGGACGATCCCATTCATCATCCTTTCCCCACGCGGAGAACACATGCAATGTAGTACAAATCCGTCGCTATTTCCGATGCACGGAGTAGCAGATCCTATGGAGCTGTCTACGATAGAGAGCATGGGGTGGGTCTTTGAGCTCCATGAGCCTCCCCCTATCCCGAGTACTCGAGAAACCTGGGATCAGTAAGCCGGGCAATAGATTTCGAATAATATCAAAAATATTTGTTAGGGCGACGTCGACCCCGTCGCGGTAATCGATCCGGTGACAGAATCTGCCGGAGGAAGTTCCGAAGCCACTGGGTCGGATCAGGTGAAGAAACGCGCTGATGAGGCAGGTGGAGAGGACTCCAAAACACCGGACGCCACCATTCCGGACGCCAAGCCCACGGAAGCCAAGATGAAGGAATCAAAGACTACGGACGCCGTGATGAAGGGATCAAAGACTACGGACGCCAAGATGCCGGAGATCGAGATTCCGGACGAAGAAATCGACATCGCCGAGATCCCGAAAGCCGAGATTCCGGACGCCGCCAAGAAGAAGGAATCCAAGACTGCGGACGCCAATATGCCGAAGGTCGAGATTCCGAATGCCGAGATTCCGGACTCCAAGATCCCGAAAGCCAAGACTCCGGACGAAAAAATTCCGATCGCCAACGTCTCCGAAGCCGAGGTTCCGGCCGCCAAGATGCCGGACGCCGAGAGATCCAAGGATGAGATCGACTCCACGTGGAAGAAAAGTATTGAGAAGGGTTTTCACAACAGGAACCTCGGGAGAAAAGATTCTCGAAGAGATTACAGCAGGTACCGACGGCACAGAGGCTGGAGCCGCGCCAATTCAGAATGAGCACGTAACAAGAAAGGAATGAGTGCAATAAAAAGTACCTCCTTTCTTAAGCAACCTCTGGGCAGTCCGTGCTTTTTCCAAAAATTGGTTTCTCCTGCATTGTAGAAGCTGGTCTGGAGAATTGATTTCGACATTCAGGCGAGCTACGTTCTGGGACTTTCACAAACACGCTTCTTTCACAAGCACTTCCACAATCTCTCTTCTCGATACCGATCTTTCAATTTAGATCCGAACAGTCAGAAGCTGAAGCCTCGCAGACTTCGATCTCAGTCAGAGTTCGGAAACTAGGCCCGTCGGTGGTGATGGCGCATTCGAATTCGAAGGAGGAGATACGTTCGAAAAGCGGGTGAGGGTAGCTTGTCATGAGCGCATGTTTATTCGAACGTCACGGAATCAAGATTTGTATTTGGTTCAAAAGTCTGGCTTCCTCTCGTCAGGGGCGAAGATCAGAGGCATTCCGTCGATTTGAGCCGATATCCGCCCAGAGTGAGAGTTTTTCCCAAGTAGAATAATCATTCACCCACTCGGACTAGATCATCAGCATCGGGAAGTATCGAGTGTCCCCAAGTGGTGTGGCGTATAGGAGCGACGATGTCAGGAATCTTCCTGTGAAGCGGACCGCTCGATCACCTCGCGCCCAGAATCGATGAGCTCGCGGCATTTCCGGGAAATCAGACCCACTCTCGTCTAGTATAAGTGGGAAGCGAATTCGAAAAGATGGACAGCATGCCTGCTGAGGTTGGTGTTCATCCCGATCGGGGGAAAAATCTGCTCCGCAAGATGGAAGGAAGTTTCCTCTGACTCGCTACGACCGCGTCAGCGTTCTATAGTTAGAAAATGAGTTCTACCTCGCAGCTACTGACACGGGTTCTGTCGGATCTGGATCCACGGAATCGACTCCAGATCGCCCGCACGTGTCGACGGTGGGCACAGGTTGTTTCCGGTCTGCTGGACGATGTCCGACTCGCGATCACTGGGGCCAACATGGATAAGGCAATACCGTGTATATTGAAGAGCGATCGCATTTATAATCACCTCAGCATTTCAAGGGGTGAGAGACAGTCGCTCTGAACGAATTCGTCGATGTGGAGCATTAGGAGAGGAATCGTGCCACAGGCTCATATCTCTCGCGTTTCAGCCGATCTCGACCAGTGCGATCCCAAGTTTTGGATAAAGGTCGGAGAAAACCTCCGGGAGCTTCGTCTCAGCAGATGCACATGGTCGCCTGCGGTTTTCTGCTCCATCATTCGGCGGTGCCCGAACCTGGAAACTCTCTCGTTCTCAGGTAAGGATGAGCTTGTCTGTAGCGTGTGTGTACGTATTCAACGGAGTCCAAAAAACTTCAGTGGTCCGAAGAATGCCGAGCGAGACATCATCGTATGGAGCCGATTATTATCCTCCGGAGCGTGAGGTACTGAATCAACTCCAAACTTCGCAGGTTTTTGGGAGGGAGACGGAATTTTCGTCCCGAAGCGACCGGAGGATGTCGTCCTCGAAGAGTTCCACCTATCATTCCTCAAAATGAATAGGCTCTTCCCGCGAGCTTACATGTCGAGCAGTACATTCGATCGTTTGCTCGAGTTGATGCCGAACTTGACGTCGATTTCGACCCGCTGCTCCACGGAGCAGGAGCCTCGCTATACACGCGCTCCAGACTCGAGCCAGCGCATCCTGATGCTCCTCACCGATGAACATGTAATCAGTATCGCAGAGAGATTTTCGAAGACTCTCCAAGAGCTCCGATTGGCGTGGTGCGCCGGTCTGACCGGTAGGGCTTACGCTGCCATCGGCTGTCTGACGAACTTGCGGACACTGTCCCTCGCATCCGCTCGGCACCTCGACGACTGTCATTTGACGCAAATCATACGCAATGCTCCAGACCTAGAGCACCTGTCTGTGACGGAAATAACAGACCTCGTTTCTGACACTGCACTCGTGAATTTGCGCGATCTCAGAAAACTTCGGCGTCTCGGCATGGATTTTCCGCCCTCGAGTGAGGGCGAATGGCTTCAATACTTGGCGACCCTTGCGGGTTTCGAACGTCTCAAGTTACTCGACTACGATTTCGAAGAAAGTTACGAAGCTTTCGAGAGCATGGCTCGGCTAGCTAATCTCAGAACGTTGACATTGATAAGGTGTTACTTCAATCCCGCCTGGTTTGACTTGATTCTTGACAATTTAAAAAGTTAGAAAAGCTGAGCCTTGAAGGTCTCGATGTGGTCAGCGATGCGCACGTGAGCAAGATCATTCTGCTGGAGAATCTGCAGACCCTTAATTTCTACGGAGAAGAAGAGGATTGCTGCGACTCCTGTCTCGGGGCCCAAGCCTGCTGTAATATGAGCCTGCCCGAAAGTCCCCCGAGGCATGAAGAGCTCCTGGCCCTCCCACCGCGTGAGGGCCGGCTCCGGACCCTTCATCTTTACCGCTGCCTGAGAATCACCAACGTGGGTTTGATTTCTCTTCTTCGCGGCGAGCCTTTTCTCGAGAGTTTGCTAGTACAATCATGCCCTCTGATATCGGGCAGAAGTCTCAGGGCACTCGAAACCCTGTGTCCTCGCCTTCGTTGCCTATTCGCTGAACCTTTCGCTGACGCCGTCAAGAGAAGCTTCCATGAGCGTCGACCATCCGTCACATTATTCGGACACTGTTGAAGCACAGCTGGCTATCAACGATTCCGGGAAAACGTCGGCAGGTACCATCACGTCTCCGAGCCGGAAGATGTCATGATCAAAACCGAAGTTGGGTTTCCTCCCATTCTTGATGGAGGAGGAGGTCAATCCTTCTCTGAAAGGACAGGAAGGGGAGGAGGGATGCGAGCCCCTATGGAGAGATCACCGATCCTATGTCAATCTCGAGTATGGGGCCCTCACCATGCGGTCCGAGGATCTCGGGATGGAAGAAGGGAAGAAACGAAGTCATGCACCATGATGGGATACGGTTTATTGGTACGAGGGTAGAAGAAGAGTTTTATGGATGGTTGTTGGAACGTGGTCATGTAATGTAGTCTACTTCACTTCGAATGGCTCTTATGATTTTATTGCGACCTGTGGTCTGCGGTTTCTCAATGAAATTCGAGCTTCTTTCGACATGTGGGGGCTGGTCCGGATCGTATGGAGTCGGGGACACCAAGTTTCCAGCGCTCTCAAGCTAACGTCTGTCAAGAGAGTCGCGCACATGTACAGCTCCTGGAGCAGTGGCGCTCGACGGATGAAGTACAACAAACCGTCGTCTGTTAATTCCTCGCAACCGTTTATCGACAAATACTTTAAGTGACTATGATGGGTCACTATGTTCCTGAGTCCTACGTCCGTGATATTGGCATCGTCGATGCAGAGAGACCACATAGCAGACGAGCCGACACCATTTTCGAAGGTCAAGTCTGTGAGGTCGCCAGCATCGAGTATCTCGAATTTCCTAAGGTTTCTCAGTTGACGCAGCTTTACACCGTCAGAATCGACCATTGGAGAGAAACCGACGTCGAGCACCATTAAATTCTGGAAATTCTCGACAATCCACGCAAATGATTCGGGGGTATAGCCCTGACCAGTCAGCCTCAAACACCGTAGATCTTTGAGGTTTTCGAGCTTGCGCAAAGTCTCCAGATCCGCGGCGTGCGGCCGAATATCGAAGTCTTGGACCGTGGTCATTCTCCCTACGATCTCTAGCGCTACCGCGAGTAAGTTTGGCCGGCTAGATATACGAAGCTTTTTGAGTTTCCTCAGTTGGTTAATGTAGTTAAATATTCCATCGCTTGGTCGCGGGACGTCCAGGGTGAGGGTTTCGAGATCGGGGATTCGCCGAAAGATCCGCCGAAGATCGGAATTCCGGATATGATTAGCTTCGCAGAGCCCCAAATGACGTAGTGCGCTACAGGCGCTGATCGCTTCGAAGACCTCTCGCCCGAGTCTTCGGCAGTTTGCCAAAAACAAGTATTCCAAGCTCCCCGCGTTTTTATCGATGAGCTTGCTCACCCTCGAGTCGGTGCATACATGACCCAGCGCCAGACTTGTGAATTTCCGCTCGCACTTCATCATGCTTCTCAGAATCTCCGGGAAGCCGAGGGGATCGATGCCACTGCTGTCCAAGAAGAATGACGTTAGATTCGGCATGCAATCGAGCAGGGGATCGAGAGTGTTCCCGTTCAGACGAACTTCTTTCAAATAAAGATGTCGGACGCCAGCTAAACATCGGCGGATTTTATCCAAGTTTGCACCGCCTGGGGGTTCCAACGCTTCAGGCAGTCCGAAGACGTTGTTTTCTGAAACCCGAATAGAATTTTCGAAACCGGCTGGATCTAATCCGATTTGAATAAGCGTTTCGTTCCATTGCATTCTGTGAGTGCTCCGAGCCGTATTGAAGCTGAAACTCCACCCGGAATCAAAACCCACCGTATGGCCCTACGAATTCCAGAGACTCCAGTCTCGGACAGTGCTCGAGTATCGAATAAAATGAATGAGACGACCACTTGCAAACGGTGATGTGCAAACTACGGAGGTGTGCGCCGACCTTGCCCCAAAACATTGCGTCGAAATCCAGTAGACTTACTGAAAGAGAAAATGTGACTACAATTGGACCAGGCGAGATCCAATCAGGATCGGCAGCCTACAACGCGAAAACTACTCACAGCTGTAGAGCTCGAGGTGTTTGTATTCACGACGAGTATTCATCAGGATTAGTGAGGCTGTCTCATTTGTGATGCTTTGACGAGCAACGAAACGAACATCTCCCAGCAGGGCTGGCGTACACAATAGGTCGGACCAATGGCGACAGACAGCGGAGAGTTTCAATCGATCAAGGCTGTGAATTTTCAGCAAGATATGCTCCAGCACCTATGGGGGAGAATGAGGAGGGGGAAACACGATGCTCCCGCGAGGAAGAGACTCAATCGGGAAGATCATTCCGATCCCAATACTTCTATAACCCGCTGTCTCGATTCGAGGCTTGCATAGCAACGGATTTCTCCAGAGGAGAAAGGAATTGTACCCACCTCCGGCGGTAGTTGATTCATACTCGAGTCTTAGGCCTCCCCCAGGCTGTGCTCTTTAGAAATCGCAGGAACCTCGCGCAGACACTCGCGGATCTCGGAGACTTTGCACACAAATGAGTTTGCGGAGAGGAGGTCCGTCAGAGCGTATATTTGCGGTGGTATGTTTCGAACGTGAAGCGTCAAATATCCCTCATGCTTCCGGATATTTTCTACTCGGCTTTCGTCCCCGCGTCTCGGGGTGGGCAGCATATCGCGAATAGGACAGAAGCCTTCCTCACCGGTCGCTCCTCCCAGGTTAAAGTAAATGAAATGCTGTCAGATACGGCAAGAACAACGAACAGGTTCTGGACCTCAGAGAAGCTCTTTAGGCGCCTTAGCTTCCGTTCTGCAAGTACCTCGATTCGATCAAGAATATTATATCCCAAGATGTACCTCGGTTCTCATCACTCGAAAATTATTTCACGAGTCGCTCCCTGTGAAAACCTTTCGCGTCTTGGAGTCTGCTACCATAGGTTCTATGTGCAAACCATTGGACTTGATACTCTGGATTTATGAATGAAAAATCTCGCTTTTCGCGTACCGCACCGCAAAGTACGACTCTCGTGAATCCGTTTTTCCATGTTGGCAGACCGAGAACCAGAGCAAAATAAGTGCACAGAACAGAGTATGTTGCCAGAGAAGTTCTGGTTAATGAACTCCTACCGTTCCGAACTGCTGGAAGATCGCGCTATCTGAGGCACACCTTCATGTCAATGAGGAGTTTCTATCATTACAATTATCAAATATCTAGGGAAACCCTATATCGATGCGGATTCGGGGCTCCCAAGTATCTGGATGGTGATGTAATCGAGATGTGACATGATTCGGGTCCGAGGATGAAACCGGAAGAGGATCGCGGACCTAAGCCTTGCCTGGGCGGGCCTTGTCAGAGCGCGTGGACTATCGACGGATCACGTGAGTGGTAACAGGAAGGCGCCTGATCCACGGGGATCGTTTCTGCGTCTTTGATCCCTACTATGGGTTCTAATCCGCTAGAGCGTCCAAATCCTGCGTGGAATGCTGTTAGATCAAAGTTCCGCATGAAGTCGTCAGTCTCTAAAGGCATGTAGGCATCATATGCCTTGAAAAGCGGCGATTGAGGAAATCGAAAGTTCCTGTGACCTTCGCTGTGATTGATTTTACCTTGGCAGATTCTCGCGATCAGAGGCAGTCCGTTGCGTCATCCTAGTTTGTTTCTTTCAAGAAATAACCCACCCGACCGGGCTCTCGAGCCTGTGAGAAATTGCACGAGGAAAAAAAGGCTCCAAGTGAGATGTCTGTTGCGAACTCTTCCTTGCACTGGACAAATTCATATCTGGCTCCTCTCGTCCTGACGGAGTCACGGTGATGCCACGAGCGGAAGCGCTGAGGCTGCCTGCTCTCTACTGGCCGCGCATAATGTTCATTCTCTCTCTGAAAAGTGTGCAGCCGCGAGGAATAGACGATTCTTATCCGATGCTGACGACGAAGACCGTCGGTGTCTCAAAATTTCCTCACTTGTGCGAGGATCATCGCTGATTGTCATTGAGGCATGCTAAGAGGTTTCGCCGTCGATGGGCTTCTCCCCGAGGTTGGGCGGAGGGAAAAAATACAATCACCGGAAACCATGGTCAAAAGTATGGTCCGCCCCGACGTTCAGTTTTCACTCGATCGTCGATATATGACCTAACGAACGCAACAGTGAGAACAGCAGCACGACTCATCCATACCACGCCTACAGATCATGGCGATCACTCCCATTTCGCCGGAAGGTGAGCGATTTGCCTACTGTGAGTTTCTCTCACGGTGGGCAGGACGCAGGACGGCAGGACATTTGAGCATGCAGATGACTGCATTCATCTCGTAACTTCGGCATCACGATGCCGAGGGGCCGAAACGGTGAAGGATGCGATCGTTCGGGTTACCCAGGAGCTCATCGGCCGAGACCTTTCTTGGACTCACCTCACGAGCGGGAATTGCGAATCTCAGTGCGAATTGGTCATTAGTCGAGCACTTCCTCGGCTTTTATGACATGGCCCCGGGAACTTCCCCATGCTTTTTCCCGTTAACGAACTCATGCTCATTTGATGCCGCGGCTGCACGACGAGTGCTCGGAGAGTCTCTCCGCACGTAGTTTGGCCGAGCCTCGGTCAGGGGATGGCCTCTCACACAGTATCCGGAGAAACTCCCGGACATGTCGTCATTGTGACTTCTATTCCATGTCAAGGAACGCCGTGCCACCGCAAGTGGAGAATCATTACCATCGTCGTTTTCCAGACCTGTGTCCGTTCCTCTCTGTGCTCAAGGCGGGGAAACAATCGGAGGGTTTCCTCGGCCGAACGTCAGTGCCCGTCCCGCGCGGAGAGCGACGAGACCGCGGCGTGACTGCAGTATCGCTGCCCTCTCCAGAATATCGAGGGATCGCCAGAATCGACGCCAGATCTTCTACAGGAGACTGCGGAGAGTGCAGAGCTGTTACGCACGGCTTGAAGACCCTTAGTCATTCTGGGCCCGACGATCAGGGAAAGGAGTTCGAATGCTCACAGGGAGCGGGTCGCACCTGAATAAAATAATCGTACGTAGAACGCATTCAAGCTGTTCAGAGGAGTACATTGTACTGATCGTCTTCCCTATTCCTGCTCCCTGTTTTTTCCTGATTCTGGCGCAGATCCGGAGTAACTTACCTACTCTGATTCTAAACGCTCATCGAGCCGCGGGTGAACTCCCTTGCCTCCATGAAGGGTTCCGTATTCCTGAGACGTCTCAGGTCACAGAGCGAAATGGTACGGATGCATTCTTTACCGCCGCGTGAACCACATCAGCTCCTCCATTCCATCGATGGCTCCAAAGTCGCGAACTCACCCGAGGGCTTTCGGTTGCAATTCGTTCGAATCGACATCCGTTCTTCATATATCCCGTACAGAATCTCCTCGAAAATCGGATCATCGGCTCGTGATTCTTGACCCATGAATGTCTCATTGTAGTTACCCATTCGCCATTTTAGCTTCTCTCCAATCGCTGCGGCATCCTACCCACGGAGCTCTTCGGGAAAGCTCCGTCCCCATCCATCATCATAGCGATAATCGAGCTTCGAGAAGCTCTTCCCAACTGCAAAGCTGTGAAAGCTCACTCGGTCAGATTTCTAAATTCGTACGACGAATCTGCAGCGCACACACTCATCCGCAGTCGCGAAACTGACTCACGAAGTTTTCTAAGGTCATTACGGGAGCCACTCACCTACCACCGCGAACTCCGGCTTGTTTCCGTCGTTACTAAAATTCGAATTGGGTACTTGCGCAGTATGAAAGCGATATTCGATCCATTCCAACCCCAGCGATGCCTAACTAATTTGCAGTGGCACCAAGTTGGGGAATTCCTGGAGGTGGCCCCAGGTGAGCCTAAATCGCGTCTTCGCATCCGGAAAAACCATCAATACCCATGATGATCATCGATGCCTGAGACATCGCCGAACCTGGGGTTTGTTTTTCTACTTTGCATCCAGCCCCTTGATCGCACTGTACCCGTCCTGACACTCAAGAGCGGAAGAGGCTGCTTCGACGGCACGTCTAAGCTTCACCGAAATTTGGTCGGGTCTCTCCTTAAGAGCGTTTGTGCGGAGTCACAAAAGACAACTCGAACATAAGACTTCGACGCGTTACGTCCGTCAAGCAGAGCAGGAAAGACTAAAACCATCTCGGTTTATGGTGCCGGTGGCTTAAGACGATCATAAAATGAGTGCCCGGCTCCGAAGGTGTTCAGAACCTCATAAAAATTAGGCAATTACTTCTCCAAAAGAATTCAGCGTGCCTCACATTGTGTATACCGTAAGCCACGAAGCGTAGACGCTCCAAGGCTTAGCCTTTTTTTCGTGATTGTAGAGCCTCCTGAAGACGTTGAGGTCTGAAGATGGTCTTTCATAATATACAAACTCCATCCACAGGTGGAGAACCTCAGCTGACAGAATTAGGCTGATTCTGGTCCCAAGCCATCCTTAGTAACACAGAAGCTATCAGGGTGCGAGACCGCGGAGATCTCGGACGGGATCCGGGATGGTTTCCTGAGACTCTATGGAATTTCACCGGCTAGGTGCAATCTTCGAGCGATGATAGAGATGGTGTGCATGGAAAGCGAGGAATCCGAAATTTTGACACAAAATATGATTCCCGTGATGGACGTAGAGTTTGATGTACGAACTGACATCAAGGTGAAGGCAGGTGGACTTCCTCGAATGTCATGAAATCTCCGAATTTCGCTGCATCGGCGGCGACGCTTCCACCATTTGAAGCACCGGATTCGAACAAGGATAAAGGACTCGACATCTCGACTAAATTCATCCATTGTGTCCTTTGTCGACGCCGGGCTCCGAGTTTCGGTATTTTCGCGCACAAAGCACGACTACCTGGCTTACTTCTCGGAGCCAGCGACTCGAACACTGGTACCAACAACAGCATCGGTTCCTGCAGCGAATGAATTCACAGCGAGAGAGAAGAGCCTTGAACACAAAGCACTCAAAAACGCCATCAGCCCGGCAAAGGACATATCTCGTTAACACGACAGCTTTCCGCCGAGAATTAATCCATTCGGTGACAAGCTGCAATCCAAGACATTTTAGTCGGAAGGCGACCGCTTATTGGGACACAATGAATGATTCGGAGATGAGTTCAACTGCTACTGAACCATTCATGGCGTTCCCTGAAGCTCTGAATGCTTATGTCTCCTTCGGTCGTCAAGTTGCGAGACGAGGGACGGGAAGGTTGCAGTCTCCGCACGAGCGTTTGATAAGCTTAGCACAATAGATTGAAGATCCGCAGTACAGCTCACGTCAGCAGTCGCACGCATTTAGTAGACTCGCACTACATTTTTGCTGTACTTCCCAGTGTCGATTCGGAGTCAATTCCGATCCTGCTAGTAGAGACCTTCCGCTACACGAATCAGTGTTTGGAAGGGCTGGTGGCGCAGCTCCCAGTTCTGTCGGAGACGCGAAGGAGAAACAATTATTTATATACGTGCCTCTTCGCATGTCCCGATACAAGGAGATGGAAATGAAATCTTTGTGAGACGCATTTGTTCTCCCCGAATTATCGGGATGAGATCTA